TATTTATTTATTTATTTATTTATTTATTTAATAATAATAATAATAGTACTGTTGTTGTTCCTAAGTATTCCTAAAATCCTCCAGGAAAGACAATTGATATGACCTGAAATGCCATTACTTCGGACTTACATCTTCTGTCTTGTTGTGACTAGAGCCAAATATTTATATAATATTAATATTTAAGTTTTATTAATTGTACTATATATCACGTTGTAGCAATTACAATATTCGAAGCATTGTTTCCTGCCCTAATCAAATGACTTTGACCCTAATGGTCCTTTCTAAAACTGATTTGTATAACAACAACAACTACAATACTAATACTAATACTAATACTAATACTAATACTAATAATACAAAATATATAATATTATATTCAAAAAAATTATTGGAAATAAAATACTAATAGTATATTCTATTTTTTTCTACCCTTGTACTTTCAGTACAGGAAGTTCAACCTGCTCTGAATTAGAGAAAATATTATATTGTTTACTTATTTAAAAATATGTTTCGCGTGTATTTTTATTTTCTTTCCTAAGGACCAATATTTTCGTATCTCGTCCAGAGCATCAGCCGAACACAATCCCCTTCTGATTGCTTTGAAGACATTCATCAGTTAAAAGGGTGTTTTTATGAAAAACTTACGGCAATTCTTTATCACTGATAGTAATAATAGATTTCAGGGTAGGTATTCGGTCGTTCTGAAGCTTCCCTGGTTGACATGATGCCAATTCTGGGGCAATAGCTTGAAGCATCTTGTGATAATTTTGACTTTTGAATGTCTCTGGCACTACCAAGGCCTTCACACCCACTTTTGATAGGCAATACTCAAGTTCAACTACTTGATATGCAGGGTTTATATTTACCTGCAATGTAGAAAAAAATATTTAAAACATCTTATTGCAGTTTCATTAATTCAAGTTTCCTAAATTCCTAATACGATAGACTCGCGAATATTCGAGGTAAATTGGACTATGCCCCCTCTCACTTCGGATAAATCGAAGTTCTAGAAAACTCGGATAATTTGGGGTCCTTTTGGATCATTTACACTTTTTTGCGCAACGTATTATGTTCACGGTAAATATAGAAAATGCCGATCACAATGCAAAGAGTAATCGTGTTAATTGCATTAACCTATGAATAAATGAGAGGCAACTGAAACAGTGAAAATGACAAACCTCAAACACAATTTCAACGAGCGAATCCGATGATTATCCAATACCCTATTACCAGAATCGGTGACGGCAGCGCCCAGTGCACATACCGGCTCATTACTACTGCAGCAATTAATAAATACATTCTATTTGTTTGTGGATAATCTATTATAATTTTAAATGTTAAATTTGCTTTTGCATTTTCCTTTTTAATTTATCGATCTGATCTGCTGGATAATTTCAGACTACCTGATGAAGCGGTCATTTTGAGTCGCGTTCTGTTGCAGCGCATTTTGATGATAATAAAATATTTCTTTTGTGAAGATATGTTCGTTTGTCTTCAAATATCCTGAGATTACCACTCTCCTACAACATATTTTAAAACGCACTGAATCATCACGTACTGAACAGCGGTTTATTAGGTAGTATGTTCTACTTACAAGAATTAGACCTGCTCTGGCAGCTGCAAGGTTCGTGAGATACCATTCAACTGAATTGGGTCCACATAGGCCCAGCATGTCACCAGGTTGCATACCCAGCCCCCTGAGACCAGCAGCCAGTTCATCGGCCTGTGAACAAAAATATCTCGTTAGGACTGCTGCCTTGAAAAATAGTTTACACATTTAGATTTTTCGCTTATTTTTTGTAAACTGTAATTTACATTACTCTCATTGTCTTTCCCATTATTCCCAACACTCAATTTCAATATGGATTCTGAATTCACTACGGGTTACAGAAAGTATATTTACTTTCGAAATTTCGCATTCC